GAGTGAGCAATGTTTGAGAGGTCAGAGGTCGCAACTCATCCTTCTGCCCTTCTGAAGGGCCTTCAGCCATCCAGTGATGCTATGACATCACTGTGGGGGGCATAGATGAATTTTCTCTGCTTCTGAGAGTGGGTTTAAGTTAGGGAAAGGAGCATGAGGTCTCCTAGACATTACTTCCATTTCCATACTTAGAACCATCTTAAAACCTGAAAATGGGCTGAAATTGCACTACCAAATCTCAATGACATTCTCTTGGGGGGGTTGGGGGTACATGTGGTCCATTGATTATCCATCCCTGATCTAGAATCTGACTGGAGTGCTAAGGAACATTTTAAATGCCCTTTTTAGAGATTTTCTAGTGGGGCAAGGAAATGAACACACTCTATAGGATAAATGCTTTTTCACTGCATTTTTATTATTTCTCCCTTGGCAACTACTAGGCTCCCTGCCCTACCTGAGGAAGATAGAGGGGAAAAGAAGGAAACTGGCATACTGCAAATGGACCCCAGAAGGTTTTTTAGAAGTTAACTACAAGGCATTGCTTGGATATATGGTAACTCCAAGGCTTTGCTTGGGTATATGGACAGATGCCCAGAAAAGGGGTAAAATAGTACAGTGCATTGGCAGTATTCTGCTATAGCAATACCCTGTAACTGTTTATGTCCCCTGTGGGAGCTGTTTTGTGAAGCAACCCATATGAACAAAATATGCTCACATGCTCTCAACTTTCCAAATGTTCCTACCAGCTCCCAAACACTTGGCCCTTGATCCAAACCATGAACAAATTACAATGGCTGTGTTCACATAACATCCTAAGCCAAAGCACACAACATTTTCACTTAATGGAATGCCCTGATTCACCAAACATGCAGACATCATGCGATTGGTTTGCTTTTGGTTTTGCTAAGTTTTATAAAACATGGTTTAATACATTTTGTGACTAGATCTGCTATGTATCTCATTATAGAATCAGAGCTGGAAGTGGTCATTTAGGCCACTGGCTCCTTGCTTAATGCGCCAATCCAACTGTTTAGTCTACTGTGAGAGATGGTGGGGTTGACATCTGTCCTTGAACCCTTCCAAAGAAGGGGAGGCCACTACCCCTTTGGGCAATTGGTTCCCCTATCAAAATGTTCTTACTGTTAGGAAAATTTTTTCCCAACATTCATTTGGAACCTGGGATTTAAATCCCTAATTCCATGTCCTACAGATGCATTTTCTGGTCATGTTTTTATCAGTCCCAGGTTTCAATCCCTGTCCCTCCATGCCCTTCACAATTACCTGGTAGTAATGCATTGTTTTGTCTTGAAGACTGAAGCAAAATAGGGTTGGTTGGAACCACTTTGTTTCCACATGCATAGCACAAACTTCCTGTTTACTTAGAAGTTAGACCAGCAGCTTTCAATCAATGGATTTTACTTCTAGCAAATTTGTTTACATCTATGCTGAAAAAGCTGAAATTGCCCTGCAAATGAAATTATTCATTTGTAAGTTAATTTTGAACAGCACCCTCTAGTGATGAACCATTTTGACACAGGCTTTACAATTGTTTTTAGTTTATGATCTACAGCACTTATTTACTTAGCTGTGGTTTTCTAATTCAGTGGTTCTCAATCTTTCACATTTTACCTCCTACCAATCACAGATCCCACCGGAAAGGAAATATTTTTCTGAGTACATTTATACATTTACAAGCATTTTCTTGCTTTAATCCTTCAGAAACAACAATAACACTGCTATAAATAATAAGGTGGTAGCACAGTAAAGCTTTAGATGTGTACACAGGGGTACACGGGATGTTAAGTCCCACTAAACTTTGTGGGGATTACTTTTGAGAAGGCTTGGGCTAAACTCTGGCTGGTTTCTAAAGCACTTTAAGGCTGTTTCTGAGATGTAACTTGCAGAGCAGTAACTTGATGCCCTTTTGCCTGGGGGGGGGAAAACCCCCACCCTTAAACAGATAGCAGGGATATGGAGGAGGAGCTGTTACTAGTTAGTCTCAAGCAACAGAGATGCTATCCTATCTATGAGTTTGAAAAAAAGTGAGCTAATTCTACATATAAGGCCATGCGACTGTATTGCCTCCTTTTTTCCCTTCAGTTGAACTGATTATGTGCCATCAAGTTGGTGTCAGCTCTTAGCAGTCACAAAGATAGACTTTCTTAAGATGATCTGTCCCCAAACATGCCCTTCAGGTCTTCTAACAGTGCCCATCACTACTGTAATTGAGTCCACCCACCTTGCTGTTGATCCTCCTCTTCTCTTTCCTTTCACCTTTCCCAGCATTATGGCCTTCTAAAGGAAGCTGGGTCATTGTATAATTTCAACCTGGTCATTTTGTCTTGAGTGACAATTCTGGGTTGATTTGTTCAATGATCCATTTGTTTTTTTGGCTATCTATTGTATTCTCAGGGGTCTTCTCCAACACTAAAGTTTAAAAGTTTCAATACTCTTTCTATCTGGCTTCAAAGCCCAACTTTCACTTCTATAAAGGGTCACAGGAACACCATTGTCTGCACAATTCTGATCTTTGTAGCTATAGACGCATCCTGGCATCTGAATATCTTTTCCAAGGCCTTCAGGGGCGTTCTACCAAGTGCTAGTCTGCAGCATACTTCTTGACTGCTGCTTCCTTTACTGTTGATAGTTAGTTGTAAAAGACAGAAGCTAGCTACCACTTCAATATTGTCACTGCCAATTCTAAGGCTGGCTGCTGTTCCTATTGCCATTAGTTTGGCCTTCTTTATATTTAATCTTAGTCCGATTTTTTTCACTGTGCTCCTTGACTCCCATTACTAGGGCTTGCAGATCATCTGCATTTTAAGCTATTAGAGCAGGGTCATTGGCATAGCACAGATTATTTAAGTTTCTTCCTCATGCTCATCTTCTTCCAATCCAGCCTCCTTTCAACTCTGCCACTGATCTGGTATGAATGGAAACTGATGGCTTGCCAAGGCAGACCTTGGCTGCCATCTCCACTTCCTGAGATGCTGCAGGCTAATGCCAAGGAAGGACTGGCAGTGTTTTGAAGGAGGCAAAGTGGATGGAAAGCAAAAGCAGAAAGCTGGCTCAGTGAGTCCTCACAGACCCAAAGCACCTGCAGGATGCCAGAGGAAAGATAGTAGGCTGGTGAGGGTGGGAGGGAAGTTATCACATGCTTTCAGGCATGCAGCCAAGCACGAAGATTTTAAGGTCTGCCTTGTGTCTTATGTATAGTGTTTTGGTGTACCACTAGTGGTATGTGTATTATTAATTCAGAAACCTTCTCCTGAGCTGGTAAACTACTATACTTCAGTCAATGAGGGCTCACAAAAATGTCCCTCTCTATAAATGATCTGCAATCAGAAAAAGATAATATGTTCAGAAGGCTAGGCTAGAAGCTTTGTTTAGCTTATGTCAGTGTTGTCCAAACTTGGCCACTTTAAGATGAGTGGACTTCCACCCCCCGAATTTCCCCACCCCCCAATTCTTGGGGGTGAAGTACACTCCTCCTAAAGATGCCAAGTTTTGGACACAACGGCATAAACCAAACAAA